TCAAGGATAATGATGTTATGCCTTCACTAGCTAACATGTAGGACACTTAGCCACAACTTTCGCTACATTGATCTTCAATCCTGACCACCAAAATATTTCGTTGAGATCTTGATATATTTTATTACCACCTGAATAAATAATATATTCAGATAAATGTGCCTCCTCGAGAATTTCCCGTCTAAAATTATCGATATCTGGAACATAAACCCTACATTTATATTTCAACAAGTCATCCAATCTAACACATACTTCACCAAACTGTATGGCTTAAACCAACTCCAGGATTTTCTGAACACTGTTATCTCTGGCTAATGAATTCTAAATTCTATTTTTCAAAGTGGCTTGCATAGTCCACTAATTTAATTGAGTCATGTCGTCATCAATATAATTAATTATAGAGAGCTTCAGATTCTCCAACTCTTTAAGTAATTGCTCCTGCTGAGTAATCAAATAGTTCACATTACCTGAAGCCTTCCTACTCAATTCATCTGCCACCACATTAGCTCCTCCTGGATGGTACTGAATATTTAAATCATAATCTTTAATAAACTCCAAGATTCTCCTCTGCCTTTGATTCAATTCATTTTGAGTGAATATATATTTGGAACTCCGATGGTTTGTAAATGTTTCACATTGTACTCCATATACAAAGTGCGTTCATACCTTAAATACAAAAAAAATAAGAATTGCAAGCTGCAAATCATGTGTGGGATAATATCGTTCATGATTCTTCAAATAATTAGAAGCATAAGCAAAGACTCTTCCATATCGCATAAGTACACAAACCCAAATCCTTCAAAGATGCATCACTAAAAAATCTGAAACCTATCAGATCCATAACGAATAAACAACACTGGAGTGGTCATTAAACAAGCATTTAGGTTGCCTCATCACAATGATCTAACAATTCAAATTTCACTCTCTTCTGAGTCGAATTAGATAATGGCATAGCAACATGTGAAAACTCATCTATAAATCTTTTGTAATAACTAGTCAAACCTAGTCCAGACCTCAGTTATATGATAGTTCTTAGTCAATCTGCAATCGTGTTGATCTTATTCTAATCCACAGATATGTCATCTTCACTAATAATATGCTCACAAAAAATTACACTTTTAAACTAAAATTCACATTTAGAAGATATGACATATAGTCTATTCTCTATTAAAATAGCATGCAAATGATCTTTATGGTTGGCTTCATCACTAGAATACACCATGATAACGTCTATAAAAAGAATCATAAAAGTATCCAAAAAATATTTGAAGATTCTATTCATCAAATCCATATAGACCGTTGGAACATTATTTAGTCCAAATGATATCACAAACTCATAATGCCTATATTTGGTCATGAAAGTCGTCTTTACTATATCTTCTTCTTAAATTCTCAATAGGTTATAACCTGACCTTAGATCAATCTTTAAAAATACAAAAGTCATTTCCAATATATCAAACAAGTCATCAATCCATGACATTAAATATTTATTTTTACGTTAGCTTATTAAACTTGTTATATTCAATGCACATTCTAAAACTCCCATCTGTCATCTTCACGAACAATACTGGAGCTTTCCAAGATAAGGAACCCCTCATCTAGCAATTCCTACAACTCTTTTTAACTGTCATCCTATAGGGTGTCTTGGATACAAGCTCATAATCTGGCAAAAACTAAACAGTAAAGTTAATTTCTCGCACTATTGGTGGTACTGATAAATCATCAAGAAAA